CGACCCATCTCCACCTCATCACCAATTCGCCGACCGTAATCACCAATTCGCCACTCGCAATCACCAAACAACCACCATCACCCTAATTCATTGTAGCACCATAATCCTAAGCAATATCATTCACAGAAACAGTATAGCAAAATCCCAAAAACAAATGAAAATCAATACAAATTCTTCATATAACCCAAACAAAATTTTCATTTGAATTCAAGATCTTCAATTGAGTGTATATTTCTCCAACTACTTCAAATTAACAGGAAACGCAAACCAAATTCAATTGAGTGTAAAAATTCTTGAGTGGTGTTGGTGCGAGTTTGTGCTGCGAATTGAGTGGGTTCGAGTTTCAGATTTTGGTGGTGGTGACTAGGTTACGGGTTATGGTGTTGGTGTGAGTTGTTTGGGGTGGTTATGGTGGGATTTCGTGTCATGGTGGTGGTGAGAGTGGTTACGCGGGATGGGTTGTGGTGGTGAGAGAGTGGTTGGCTGGTGTTGGTGGTGTTCTGGCGGTGCACTGGTGGTAATGGTGGATAGTTGGTTGTTTCTGCATTTTAGGAGAGAGGAGAGAGAAAGAGGAGGAGTGAGAAAAGAAATTGAGAGAATTAAAGAAAAAAAACAATAAAAAATCTTTTTTACCTGTTTAACAGATTAAAGGTAAAATGGATCTGTTGGGGAAGGAGGGGTATAAAGGTTGGATTTTTGAGGAATAAAATAAAAGTTGAATTTTTAGGAGGAAAAAGTGCAAAGGTTGAATTTTTCTTTTCCATTTTTCCATTAATTTAATTATTTAATAGTTAAGTGAAAGTTAGAGAGTAATTAGAAGAGATTAGAGGGTTAATCAAGTGAATTAGTGGTACTAGGTTTTTTTAAACAAAAATTTTTTAACTTCGGGTTTTTTTTAACGATAAAGCTTTTAAAAGGTTTTTTTTTCACAAAATGGCACATCTAAAAGGTTTTTTTGACAAATTTGCCTATTTAATATTTCTACTTTTAGTTTAACACCCGACCGAAACATTCATTAGCTTTTTACCTTTTTACGAATTACGTACCAAACTTGTTTCGCTTGGAGCGGGTATATGGACATGATTTGGTGGACAATGAGTATGTATATATAATTGTATAAATTAAAAGTCATACCCGTCAAGCAGCCATGAATAATAAGTAAATGATATATTTGGAATATCGACCAAGTCAGATGCATATACCTTCGTATCAAAGCACTTTGTGTGCACTTAGTCATACCATGTGGCCGAACAAAGTAACCCACTGATATATAGTAACTTATGTAGTACTAACCGATTAATCCCTAACACTGACCTAATATTTAACACAATCAACATTGCACACATGTCAGTGCACTAGTTTGACTTTATTTTTTATTAATTAAATATTGATGAAAATTATTTAAAACATTATATTGTGAAACCTTTATATTAATATCTATCTAATGACATATTTTATGATAAAAATATGTTTGTGTTATGTTAGTAGAAAATTATGGTCAAAGCTAATACATGAATAGTGAAAAAAGTCCAACGTCCTAGAGATTCAGGGTCAAAAGGAGTATTACACTGATAAAGCAGTCCTTGTAACATTGACCGAGTAACCCTTATACTCCCTCCGTTTTTTTTATATGCATCACTTTCCTTTTATGGGTGTTTTTTTTTATATGCATCACTTCTATATTTTGTAAAGTTATACTATATTTTATTATTATTTCTCTCTCTTACTTTAAACCTCACTCAAATTATTTTATTTTATCATTTCTCTCTCTTCTACGTCCCCACTTAAATAATAAAATATCTATTCTCTCTCACATACTTTCTCTTTCACGGTCCCCATCATACTTTTATTATAATAATTTATTCACCCACTCACAATATTATATTTATCTCCTAAAACTATGTGCATTCCCAAGTGATGCATATAAAAAAAACGGAGGGAGTAACACTAAAAAAATATATCCTATTTGGTCTGCTATGCTAAGAGTTAATAATCTGTTGACATTTGATCTGCTCAGAAGCTTAAACAAACATAGCCTAACCCCAATAACACTAATAAAGTAACCCTCATGATGGTTGGTAACACCGTGTGGCCATCCACATATAAAAACTTGTGTTTCGGTGCTTTTCTATGTGGCTAACCACACAGCGTTGCCGGGGTTACTTATTCAGAGGTTACTTATTTAGGGGTTATTTACTTAGGGGTTATTTATTTAGGGGTTACTCATTCGGTTAGCGTGTTTTCTGTGTGAGAGGAACCCCTGACTGAGTAATCCCTGACCGATCGAGTAACCGCTGAATAAGGAACTCTTGACCGGGTGACCCCTGAATAAGTAACCTCTTAATATGTAACCCTAGTTACACGGTATAGTCAACCACATATGAAAGTTTATAAATATAAGTATAGCATAAAATATTTATCCAGGTCACGAGACAGTGACACTTGGCATTCAACTTTTCGCCAAGTTTTGCGACATATAGGCAACAATTAAATATTAGTATGATACATAGGATATATTTGGATATATTTTTTATGAATAAAAAAGTTATATTTTTTAATAGGATAAAAAACTAGGATAGACATTGTAAGATAAAAAAAGTTAGTTAAGAGTTTTATTACAATAAAATTTGGATAGATTTATAGGATAAAATTTGTTGTTTAGAATTTTGTTTCCAATAAAATACCTATATTTTACGGGTACAAAATAAATTATAAGTTTAGCCAGATCATGAGACAGTACCACTTGACGTTTTAACTTTTCACCAAATTTCACGTCATGTAGACAAATATTAATAATTTATCAAATAAATTTATTTTTATATCATAATTTTTTTTTATGGAACGAATGAATTAATAGGTACAATATTCATTTATAATATATTCTAATCGATTCTAAGCCATTTTTATGTTTCTTATGCTAGTTTAAAGTGGAAGGTGGTAGTATTAAGTTTTAACCTTTGTTTTATATTTGATTGTTAATTTATAAAAATCCAGTTGTTGTAAAAAAAAAAACAAAACAAAAAAAATACTTCACAATCTAGTATGATTTGAATACTTTATATAGAATTGTCAATCGGGTCGGTTTACGGGTCATTTCGGGTCAAGTCACCTCAAGTCAAGGGTCAAAAAATGTTAACCCTAGCTCAAAGTTTCCAGTTCAAGTCAATCCAACATGTTTAGAACAATTTTTTTTGTTTACTTTATTTTTGGCTAATTTTTAGAAATTTGTAATATTTTTAAGCTTACTTTGCTATATTTTTTTTATATAATTTTTTTAAATCAAACATTTTCACCGGTATTATTATTATTCATTGCATGCCTAATGCATAATTTGAACCATCACAAAATCACATCAATTCCTAACGAATCAATAAAAAGTTTATCTCAAAATTTAATAAACAGCCCGAATATCACACGGGGTATCAAACTAGTAAAATACTTCCTCCGTTTCTATTTAGTTGACGCGTTTAATTTAGGCACATATATTAAGGAGAGAAGAGAGAATGAGAGAGAATGAAAAGCAAGTAGGGTAGATTATAAATGTAAGGTAAACAAGTTACCCCAAAAGAAAACGTGTCAACAAAAAAAAATTCTTAAAAAGGAATGCGTGTCAACTAAAAAGAAATAGAGGTAGTAATAAAGTGTAAAATACAATGGGAGTATAGAGTCCTCGCCTAAGACAAACATAGCTTAGTTTCAATATAGTTATAAAAAAATGTGTAAACTAAAATGAAACAATTAGGGCTCATAAAAAAAATTGAACATTTTTCGCTTATACTTTTAATAGAATATTACAATAATAATATAATATCACTCCGTAATATATTAATGATCAAAGTTAGTAAAGTATGAGGAGACAATAAAGTCAAACTTTAACTAATTTATCATGACGTCCACGAATGAGAAACAGAGGGAGTACATTTAAATGATTGGTACGGTAACTCAAATGGAAACAACAGTCAACAGAAAACAAACACCTTTAGCAGCAAAATCTTTTGTGTATCGTCCAATTTTATTAGAGGTCAATTATTATATCACCCCAGACATTACTTCGAAGGTGCATTCCCAATTCCCACGTACACTTTACTCTTATAAAAATCAAAATTTTGACATTTGTCAATAACTTTATTCCATAAATAGTGAAGGTGACATTATCATCTCACCTAACTTCAAATAAAACACTTAAAATATAAGAGAGATATGCTAGAGTTACAGCAAGCTACGGTGAGATTTAAAATGTAGAGCTTAATCTTTCCAGCAAAGGCCACAATAGTAAGACACGTATTTTAAAAAGAAGGCTGTAAGATGGAGTTTACATGACAGGCAGTGGTTATAGCAAATGAAAAGAAGGAATACTGCCAAAGTAGAACAAAGCAGATAAGATTCGTCGTCGATTAACGAGGCAGTGATTCACGTGAGGTGACCGACAATTTAGTACGGTCAAGGCGTCAATCCAACGGAATGGTAGAAAGTTATTTTGATCAAATAATAGTACATAAATAAATAAATATTAATAACCTCTAAATAATGAGCTCTTTCCCAAATTAAAGTCAAGAAGAACCGCAATTCCCAAATTGCAGCCAAAGTTTTAAGAATTCCCAAAGTACCGTCCACGTAAGCACTGGTTAAAAAACCGGTTTTTTTTTTTCCGGTCCAGGGTAAACCGCTACTTGAAGTAGCGGTTTCTTTGCAATAAACCGCCACTTCAAGTAGCGGTTTCTTAGTTTAAAACCGCTACTTGAAGTAGCGGTTTGTTTACAAAAAACCGCTATTTTATGTAGCGGTTTATTTTGGAAAACCGCTACTTCAAGTAGCGGTTTACTTTGAAAAACCGCTACTTGAAGTAGCGGTTTACCCTGGACTGGTTTTTTTTTCAAACTTGCATAATCACTCAAAAAAAAAACCTGCAAGTTGTGTACCTGTAAAACATGAGATATATAGCATATTTTCAACACAACCACCATAAATAACAAGTTTATGAAGATCTAAGGAAGTCGAAATTGCAAAGTCGAATATTTTTCAATTGATTAAATATAACAAAATCCAATTCTAAGCATTTACAAAAAAATTAGTTTAGTTCCAAAATATACACTTAGCTCGGGCGTTGCTTCTTCCCATGAGGTGACGATGAAGATGATGCAGCTGTCTCCTCTGGAATGTCATCCAGGCCAACTCCAACCCCAGACGTAGTGTTGCTACGCCGTCGGTTTCTCTGATACTGGCGATGCACTAGTGGAGGAGATGTCATGATAGTATGCTGAGAAGGAGTCGGTGGACGGAAGGCACGTGCTGAATGGCCTCCACAATGAGGTGGTGGTCTGATCGGCATAGTGTGCACAGTAGAAGATGAAGACGTGGACGGTCGAGGCTGCTGAATAAGGTGTGACTGCCCCACCCTAGACAAGGTTTGGCCACAAAATGATGTAAAACCCAGCATCGTCTGTATGGCAAATGGTATAGCCGTCTCTGGTGGCAAGTGGGAGATGGTCTCAGTAGCTCCCGATAGCTGGACGTGCAAATCAGCAAATGCATGTGCCTACATTTAAGTGTAGTTTTAATGTTAGTGGCTCCTATGGGAAGTCTGCAAGCGTAGAACAGATGGATCAACTGGGCCTGGACGAATCACCGGCTCCATGGGACCTACACGATAACAAAAAATTGAATTAATGTTAAGCGTTCGAGAAAAAACATAAATATTAAACAAGAATATATAATTAATCATGTTACCCAGATGATCCAAATCCACCAATAAGAGTAGGACATGTCTTCTTGTTATGCCCAGGTCGCCGACAAACACTGCATGCCTTCTTCACACGATTGGGACGCTCATCCATTTCATTTCGAATTCTAGTGGACCGTCGGCCTGGGCCTCTTTTCAAATCTGGGTTGGCAATAGTAGTAGGACCATTGTAAGCTGACCAGTGGCAAGGATCAGGAACTGGTGTGAAACACTTCGCGTATGAACGCCTATATTCGACGGTCATGAAAAAAGAATCCACAAAGTCTGCATGTGATAGGCTTCTATGACGACAAACTGCTAGTACATGAGAGCATGGGAGCTTGTATATTCTCAATTTCTCACAAGTACATGTCTTGCTCAACAGATTCACAGTGTGGGAGTTACCACCTTTACCAGCTTTTCTTCTTCCACGACCGGTCCTAACCTGATACAACCCGGTGGCATCATAGTCAAAAGCAACAACCTCATGGTGCGTGGCTTTCTCCATGTTGGCTTCTATTGTCTTCTTAGCCTTTTCCGATAACTCATGGCCCTCTTCAAGTCTTCTTTTACTCCAACTTCTTCTAGTTGCAAAATAGGAGTTAACCCGGAAAAAGGTCATTTGCACTAAAGCGGTTATCGGGAGACATCGAGCCCCCTTTAAGACTCCGTTGAAAACTTCCGACATGTTTGTAGTCTTCACACCAAACCTGAAACCACCATCATGATGAATGGACCACTTACTGTACGGAATTTCCATCAAGTACCTACGGGCCTCTACATTCAAGTCACCAATTTTGTTGATGTAGTAATCAAACTTCTTCTTCTGCCTTGCAGTAGCTGCTTTGCCAAAGAGGTTCTTTATGACGACACTTTTAAATTTTGAGTTCACATTAGAAGCCAAGTGTCGTGTACAGTACTTGTGGTAGGCATTGGGCTCCTCCCAACCACTTCCAACTTCTTCCATTGCTGCTAAAATACCAGCATGTCTGTCAGATATCACACATAGCCCTTTCCTATCTGTAACTCGAGCACGAATACAAGCCATGAACCAAGACCAACTATCATTGTTCTCTCCTTCGACAACCGCAAAAGCAAGGGGGAATAGTTGAAAATTGGCATCCGTTCCCATGGCAATGAGTAGAGTGCCTTTGTATTTGCCATATAAATGAGTGCCATCAATGGTGATAAGGGGTCTGCAGTGACGGAATCCATCAATACATGGCTTGAATGCCCAAAAGACTCGTTGAAAAACATGTGTTCCAGGAACCGTACACTCTAACAACCTCCACTCAACAACAGTTCCAGGATTTGATTCCTTGAGAGCTTGCATGTACTTAGGCAACTGTTCATATGAACCCTCCCAATCCCCATAAATGAGTTTTATTGCCTTTTGTTTCGCTAGCCATGCTCTCTTGTAGGTTATTTGGAATCCATCAAATTTCTCTTTCACAAGTTGCACCATTGTCTTGATTTTCAATGAAGGATCAACGCGAATGACATCTAGAAGAACATTGCAAACGAACTCGGAAGTCAGTAGCTTATGATCTCCCGAGTCGATGGCACCAACACAGTTACTTGCATGAGGGCCGTTGTACCTCACAATTTTAAACGTAGAGAGTGTTGGATCTTTCACTCCTCTAAGCCTCCACGAACAACTACATTGTTCTTTCCTCTTGCACTCAACAACATATTTCTCTGGCTCTGCCTCCACAACTCGAATTGTTTGATTTCTAGCTATGGAGTAAGATTTCACAGCATCTTTCAGTTGTTGCAATGAGTCAAACTGCTGACCAACCTCAAATTCTCCCCCATTGTTATATGTCTCATTTCCTAACCAAGACATCCATGAGTTATTCAAACGAGGATCAACTTGCGCCACTTCATTGAAGTCTGAAGTGGGGGCGCTTCCTTTAATTGCCTTATCACGAGCTTCAATTACCTCTTCATCATCATCTTCATCAGTGTCATTCATCTCTGCATCGCCAAATACATCAACATTGTTTGGGTCAAGAGAATCAAGAATGCCTTGTGGTTGTGTGCTTGTCGAGGTTCCAACATTAGGCGATGAGGCCGGAGACCTAAACTGTGAGAGATGGTCATTGAAATAATGTGGATCAACAAGCATTCTTGTGAATGACCCTATGCCCACACTTTGAACACCAGTGGAAAACGGTTGATCCACACTACCAAAAAAATCCATCCCCGGAAAGGAACCAGTGTTAGTTTGCACAACTGGCTCCTTTGGAACTTGTTCAATGAACAATTGCATTGCAACAGAAGAACTCTGAGTCACAGCAATCCACATAGCTCTAACAGCGTTGTCGTCATTTAACGGAATTGCAACATATGCCCCAGCCATAGGATAACGCATAACCACCTTCAACTCCACACCTCTAGGATCAACACTCAATTCTTCATATAGCTTGTTCAGAACTTGTGAATATGTCATCGCAGAATGTACAAACACAAATTTTTGATTCCCACCCCTATACGTTATATTGCTATCTTTGTGGACAATTTCTCCACCCCAATAGCAATATAGAGGGTAGTTCGGAACCTCCATGTTTCATTCTAGAAAAGACCATTATTAATCAAAGATATTAGATTGCAAAAATTCATTAACAGTGTGGCAATGTCCTAACATCAAGCAAGCAAACTACACAATTATAGCAACCTAAACTGAGCTATGAAGGTCTTAATACCTCTTGAAGCTCAACATGGGCATAAGTCATGACTACATGTACTTTGAGCTCATGTACTTTGTGTATAGAAGCTCTATTTTCACTTTCAAAATCAGCAATTATAGCAACCTAAACTGAGTAATGTGATCGAAACCATTAATAATTCTACAAGGGTTATATGTAAGGTAAGTAAATCAACAACAACAACCAAAACCAACCACAAACATACATACAATTCTGAAACTCAATAACAACAACAATAAACAAGAACACTAACAACAACAACACAACCAAAACCGAAACTCAATAACAACAACAATAAACAAGAACACTAACAACAACAACACAACCAAAACCAACAACAACAACACATACATACAATTCTGAAACTCAATAACAACAACAAACTCAATAACAACAACAAACCCAATAACTGAATACAAAAAATAATTAGGGCACTTACCACAAACAAGAAGATCAGCACGTTTCTTCTGAAATTAGCGAAGCCGACCACTAAAGTCGAACCCTCGGCGTCAACAGCGGCGGCCTTCGTTGATGAGGAATGCTCCGGCGGCGTCGGTGGATTCCTTGGCTGCGCCGGCTTCCGTTGAAGGAGGTGTGATTTTGGTGGAAGGCGTGGATGGGATTTTGGTGAGAAGACGAAAATGAAAGAGGAAAGTGAAATCAGGAAATTATACCTGCTAGAAAACCGCTACTTGAAGTAGCGGTTTATTAAACAAAAACCGCTACTTGAAGTAGCGGTTTATTAAAAAGAAACCGCTACCTGAAGTAGCGGTTTATTAGTAAAAACCGCTACTTCAGGTAGCGGTTTTGCTGTAGACCGGATTTAAAATTTCTTCCCCCTGAACCGGTGACGTGGACGGTACTTTGGGAATTCTTAAAACTTTGGCTGCAATTTGGGAATTGCGGTTCTTCTTGACTTTAATTTGGGAAGGAGCTCCTAAATAATAGTAGCAAATGATTTTTGAGATTTGGATGCGTGTTGAATGTTTCTTCATTGCCAATTTATTAATTTTTAAGGGGTTTTTTTAGAATAATAGTTGGACATTTAGGATTTTTATTTTATTTTTTATTGTGGAGGAATCTAATTGCATCGCCAATATCAATATATAAGTATAAATGTTAAAATGACACTAAATGAAGATCAATATAATTATAATTAAATAACACAAAATGAAGGTAATTGAACTATTGAAGATCCCGTTCGATGCTCGATTGGCTGCTCGATAAATGTGAAATTTTAAACTTTTGGAAATTACTGAAATTTATATTTATTTCTCTCAACCTTGAATCGTAATAATTAACAAAGGTCACTATCTACCAAGAAAGTTGATGAAGACATTTAACAAAATTTAATAAGGGCCAATACCGATATCAATTTCTAAAACAATGGATATTCAAAATAGTATTTGAGGTAGCGTTTGAAATAGCGGTTAGTGATGGAAATAGTGCAAAGGAAGGTTTTTTAGTTTTGGAGGAAAACTCTTTGTCCCACATTGGTGGGATAAGGAAGGTTTTACTTGGTTTAAATATGTGTGTTTATACTTTGGTATTTGAAGTGTTTTCCCTATTGTTGTGGGCTAGAAGGGGGCATCCCCACGCGCGCCGCCGTCTGGCCGGTTCGGTTCGTGTTCGTGGCACGTGCGCGGTGTGGTGGGGCTACCTTTTTGGGCCAAGTCGTAACTGGCATTCCAGTTTTTATGAGATCGTTTAGTTACGAAAGCTCGCAACAACATTTGACTCGGTTTTTAAACGTTTGTAACTGCCCCTGATTTTCCTCCCACGAATTATTTTGTGGCTTGATTTTCTCCATCAGTTATGACTTCCTTCTTCTATAAAAAACTGATTTTTGTGGCTTTCATAATACACAAAGAACAATTTCCTTCCCCTCTCTATTTTACTTCCAGTTTTCCTCTAAATAATTCTAAGCATATTGTGAGTTCCTAGTCTCTCTTTTTGAGTGCACATTAAGAAAGATCGTTGTGTTAATTCTTGGGGGGCAACGCCATCTCCAATTGCACCATAGTCGGGGCGAATTTTGCTTCTAAGACAGTGTTATTAACACGTCACAGCGTTTTACCTACATCAATCAAATCCGGCCTACATTTCAAACTATATTTTTCTGATTTTACAGTACTTTATTTCTCACAATTTAGAAGCAAAATTTTCCACTGTAATTTCAGATCATGGATTTTTCAATCGCAAAAACCCTTCCCGATCTTTCAAAACTTGAACCCCTTGATGGGACTAACTACAAACGTTGGTCTCAGAAGCTGTTACTTTTCTTCGAGCAATTGGAGGTTGATTATGTTCTTGTTCGTGACTGTCCAGTTCGTCCAGAAATTGAAAGTTCTGCTACTGCTGTTGCATCTTCTGCAATAGATGAACAGATTGCTAAATATGAGAAGCACAACAAGTTCGTGAGAGGTCATCTCTTGAGTCACATGTCCAACCCTCTGTTCGATCTCTTCATCAACAACAAATCTGCTAAATCTGTTTGGGAGACTCTAGAGAAGAAATATGGGAATGATGATGCGGGAAAGAAGAAGTATGCAATAGGAAAGTGGCTGAAATTCCAGATTGTTGATGACAAGCCGATCATGGAGCAAGTTCATGAGTACGAGAACCTAGTTGCTGACATTCTGGCCGAGGGTATGAAGATGTGCGAGGTGCTGCAAGCCAATGTTCTGATCGAGAAGTTACCGAATTCGTGGTCCAACTACTGCAATCATCTCAAACACAAGAAGAAGGATATATCTCTTGAGGAATTAGTCGGTCATATGAAGATTGAAGAAGCCAACCGCCTTAAGGATAAGGACTCTTCCCCTTATGAACTTTCTGTTAAAGCTAACATTGTGGAATCTTCTGTTCCAAAACATGACAGGTTCAACAAACAAAACAAAGCTGCTGGAAATTCCAAGAAGAACCAAAATCAGAAACCGCTTGGAGTTCAAAGCAAAAAGAGCAATAATTTCAAGAAATCCAACAAATCAGAAAAGAGTAATGGTGGCTGCTATGTATGTGGGAAGCAAGGCCACAAGGCATGGCAATGCTACAACCGCAAAGATGCATCTAACAATGGGCAGAAATCAGACCAGAACAAGAACCAAGCCCATATTGCTGAAGAATCTGATGATGTCATTGCTGCCGTAGTTTCAGAAATCAATCTCGTTGGCAACAAAGCAGAATGGGTCATTGACACCGGAGCCACCAAGCATTTTTGTTCGGACAAAGACCTTTTCACTGAGTTCCATGAATTTGCCAAAGCTGATCAGGTGTTCATGGGCAACTCTAGCAGTTCTGAAGTTCTCAGTAAAGGAAAAATTCTCCTTAAATTAAATTCTGGAAAGTCTTTATCTTTGCAAAATGTTTTGTATGTCCCTTCCCTTCGTAGAAATTTAATTTCTGGTGCTCTTCTTAACAAGGCTGGTGTGAAACTTGTTTTTGAAGGTGATAAGTTAGTGTTATTTCGTAATGGGGAATTTATGGGGAAGGGATATTTGTCGGGTGGGCTATTTATTTTAGAAACTGTATTTGTTGTTGATTATATTAATAAATCTTCTACTTCTGCTTATATTGTTGAGACTTTTGATCTTTGGCATGCTAGATTAGGACATGCAAATTATGGTTCCATGAAACGCTTGCAAAACATGTCTTTAATTCCTAGTCTAATTTGTAATGGTCATAAATGGGAAATATGCGTTGAAGCCAAACATTCCAAAAAACCATTCAAACCTGTTACTAGTAGACAAACTGAATTGCTTGAATTGGTTCAGACAGACTTAGCTGACTTTAAGAATACCGTAAGCAGAGGCGGCAAACGG